TTGCCCTTCTCACTCACCGGATAATACTCGTACAATTCCAGATTTCTTTCTATGGGTTTTTTTTATCTAGAGTTTACATAAACAAACCTCAAACATTACAGGAACTTAAAGAAGCTATTCGTCAGGAAATCTACGCCATTCCTACGGACATGTTAGGAAAATCCGTAGCAAGTTTTAAGGAACGCCTTCAACACTGTATCCAAGCAGAAGGCGACCACCTTAGAGATGTAATTTTCAAACACTAAATCCTAAGTAATTATACTCTGAAATTGCATATTGTGTACACTGTTTTTCCACTCATAAATATATTTTTTTCTCTGAATTGCCTGAATACTCGTTATTTTAAAAACATGCGTTTATCGGTAATCGCCCTGTAGCTATATTGGTGAGATAGCGACGATCAACAGTTTGAGATAAATTAGATTTTAGTTCATATTATATAAAACTGAATAGGGTACTACTTGTAAAATAGAGGGGGAGCTGGGTATATCCACATACCTCTTGTTGTTTGAAGAATGTAACATCTCTTCCGCTATCTTTAACAAGGTTAACAATCTCCTCGTTGCTTTCAGTGAAATCTGCAATCTCATGTTTTTGTAAGCTAACATAAAAGTTGAGGTAATATTTTTTCTAAAATCTGTTATGAAATAATTATTATTCCTCAAAAGGGACAAATTTAAATTTTGCTATTTTCATTTATTGTTCTTATTTTAACAAATGTTTAATATATTTTTTGTAAACAAAATTTAAATACAACATAAAATGTTAACTATTTGTATTATTCGCTATCAAATCCACACTTAAGTTCTTGCGTATTAAATATAATTTATCTTTGTCTAACTATCACTGCCAATATACTGTAGAATATAAGATTATCTTTATAAACTACAATTTATCTTTAATAATATTTAAAAATCCAACAAAATATCCTTATGGTTTAAAATATAAGGAACACTAGCTATCTTAACCTCATATAATTTGAAAGTGGGTCTGTAAAATAAAGTTTCGAAGTCGGCGTAAGAGCCTGGAACACGCTAGTACTCCAGGAAATTGATATTGATATTGCATTATAACTGGAACGCTTACTGTACTTCGGTTTCCTGGCCCAATAACCTAGACCTAGACTTTTCCCACCAAACCTCTAGTAACAAAGTCTTCTTTCGATCATAAAATAAATAATAAATAAATAAAAAATAAAAATATTACCTGTCAATTTGTAGTTTTATTCAGTTTTATTACTTTTTTTAATACTCCGTGAAAGAAATCTATTTGATATGACAGACGCCTTAGTCTATTATCCTTTTCATGTGAATGTAGGTGTATTTTTCTGTTCTATTGGTTAGAATAATAATATCTTCCTTCCACTTATTTAAGCTAGATACGGTTAAAATTTTTTACTTAACTGTGAGAAAATTTACGGCAATGCGAAACGTTCCTTAATGAAGGGAAATATTAAACAGGAAAACCGTCAAATTTCTGACCGTAACCAATGCTATTTCCATTTTCTGAAACCCCTGAAAATGTAGAAGTCCCTTCCTATTAATATTTTAACACGCTTGTGTTATATGTGTTACGTGTTGATTTCAATATTTAAAATGATGGTAAACCAAATGTGATTCCACATTTTATTACAAATTGAAATTGCCTCCAGCGTACGAATAATCCGTATTTAGAAAAAGAGACTTCCTGTCAATTTTTCTTATCAAGTTTTCAAACAGATTTTCATCAAGATATTGGATTTGAGAGAGACCGGGTGTCGGGTGAATACTAAGATCCAGCAAGGGTTTGACGGGCTCGGGGCGATGATTTGCCTTTGCTCACTTTGAAACAGACGGCAGATTGCAGACCTCCGTGATCCCCAGTCAAGATTAGAGGAAGAGGGTTTGCTTAAACCGTCTACACAGTCTGTATGCATCTCAGATTCATCACATTTCATGTTTATGATATAATAAAAATAACTATTACGGGATAAATGAAATTGCGCTAGTAAAATACTTAGTACGAATTGTGTGTTTTTTTTTTCAAATCGCTTAACTGCTGATGTTAAATATAACGGTTTATTAAATCGAATGGCTGAAATTCATTAACTAAAACCACTAAGCAATCTACTAATTATTTTCAAAACCACTATAGTCTTACATTGATAATTGACTAATTATGAATTTACCTTACGCCTGACACTACCATGGATTTAAATTCTGAATGGAATGCGAAATTATTATTTCAATGTATTAGTGTCATTTATTAAACTACTCGCATGGTGAAATTAATAAGGATAATTATAATAGTTATTTAATAACAGTATACGTCTCTTCATTCAAGATTTGAAAACTGGAATTTTTTAACTTTCCTATTAAAACAACCAAATCGTTTGACTGTACAAATGATACTACGGAAACAGAGTATAACGTATTGTTAGTTACATTACATTTAAGAGACATTATAGTGATACAAAGCATTCAAGAAAACTCCAATATCAATATCAATTTCGCAAAGTACTTGCATGCTTTGGGCGCTTTACCCCAATTTCGTAACTTTATTTTACTGACCCACTTCTATACTGTTCACAGATTACTTTCAAAACTCCACCCATTTATAAATCATTTGGACAAGTGACTTGCATTTTTTTTTTATTTTTGATTTTGGTTTGATCAAACACTACTAAGAATTGTCAACGGATTAAATATTAGTATACAGGGTTAGGCAAAGGTCTGGAACTCCCCAGTTAACTTTTTAACGCGTTTGCCGTAGGAAAACCAAACTCGGCACATATTTACAACATAAGAAATTAAACTTTTTCATAAAAGTTACAGCTTTGCCCCAGCCCCCAAAATGGGGTATTTTGGGGACAGTCCCAAATTTTCAAATGTAAACACCCATCATGTGACCCCTCATTTTAAAGGGTTTATCAAGGAGAATTGAATTGCGCAATTCAGAGGTCAATATCACACCCCTAATCAAATTGGCAACAATTTTAATTTAAGATGAGCAAGCAAGATAAAGTCTGCACACCCCCAGTGAACTTAATAACGTGTAGCAGCGGGAAAACCAAACCCGGCACATGTTAAAAAAAATCACTTTTTCATTAAACTTAAAACTTGCTTCCGGCCCCCAAAACGATGTATTAAGGGGGCAGGGCCAAATTTTCAAATGTAAACACCTGTCATGTGAACCCTCATTTTAAAGGGTTTCTCAAGACAAATTAAATGGCGCAAACTAGAGGTCAATATCGCACCCCTAATCAAATGGTTGCCATTTTGATTAGTGGTGTGATATTGACCTCTGGTTTGCGCCATTTAATTTCTTTTGATATACGCTTTAAAATGAGGGGTCACATGATAGGTGTTTCCATTTGGAAATTTGGGGCTGCCCCCAAATACACCAATTGGGGGCCGGGGAAATTTGTAACTTTGATGAAAAAGTGCGATTTCTTATGTTGTAAATATGTGCCGAGTTTGGTTTTCCTACTGCAACGCGTTAAAAAGTTAACTGGGGGATTCCAGACTTTTGCCTAACCCTGTATAAGGCCAAACAGTTTGTCAGGCCATTCCTGACCAGTATGTTTGGGCAATTCGTGATTGGCTATTAATTGATGATAGTTTACATAGGTCTACGACAAAAACAATTAGGGCCGAAGTTGAAGACAATACTGACGTCAAAAAAAACTTATAATTTGTAAAAAATGTGTTTGACTTTTTTTAAGTGAGGAACTACGAATTTATTTTATTTAGTATTTAAAAGTTTCGTCTGCATTTTTCAAACAAACTGTTCTCTGCAATATTTTTAGTATTGTCAAATAGTGTACTTACTTTTTAAGAGAACATCTTGTATAATGTTGTTAGTTGAGTAGAGTACAGAAAAATTCAAAACTGCAGTTGCAGTTAAACTGCAGTTAATGCAGTTGCGAAGTTAGGGAAAGATTTGACTGTTTAAGTTTCTACCGCAGGAAATGATGGAATCTAAAAGAATAAATATTCTAACAAAAAACATGTAAGCTGATTCAACCAATTAATCGTTGAACTGTGATTGAGTTAAACTCTATTAAACTATAAAAACATTTTTTGTCCTAAAATATAGCACTTACCACAGACTGGCCAAAAGGTCTTTTCTAGGTGAGGGATGAATCCCAGAAAGGTGCTTTTAAGTTAGATTTTTTCAGAATATTAAATTGTACCAATATCAAGAACAAATTGTATAGATAAATTATTTTAGTTTGAAGTATAAACATGTTTATAGTGTTGTAAACAATACAAACATATAAATACATTTAATGATTGGTAATTAATGTTAACAAGACACTGTGAACTATGTTCTAAAAAACGCCTTTCAAATTACAATTATTTGCCTAAAAAGTTTGGTTATTATTGGTGATACATGGCTGGGAATAAGTAAAGCTCCAATAGCAATTGAAAAATATTTAAACAAAGATACAAAACCTGTCTGATATAATCCAACTAAATAAAAATCAAGTGTTTTCTATGCCGAAATAATTATTCTCTTTAATATGATAATGTAATGGTTTCTGTATTTTTAAATTAATATTAACTTGAGTAATAATATTAGCAAAAATAAAATGTTGGTACGACCTCAATTATTATTATTTTTATTTAAAATTTTCTTCCGTTTTATAATAATTGAAAAAACCCTTTTATTTTGCCTTAAAATTTGATTTCGCTTACATTTAAAGACAAAAAAATAAATGTAGATAGAGATGTTTTTAAATTGACAGAAAGATTTAAGAAAATTGACAAGTAGAGTATCGTATAAAAAAATCATTGTGCAAAAGATTGTAATTTAACGCATTATTACTGTAGTTTAAAATTACTTAATTTATAGAAAATAAAGCCCAAAACTTATAAACATATATCACCCACGGTGAATGCTAACCTACATTCCGCTTCGAACCAATATGGAGCACAGATACCACGGCGTTTTGGTCTGTTGGTGCAGGCACTACTTACAATTCAACACATAACATAATATATATGATCGCGCCTTACCAGTATCCACGCAGCACGCACTACACTCACCACTACAAGTCAGCACTGCCTGCACACCGATGACGTCACAGACACCCGCACTGTAACAATGCTCGATGCTACTGAGCTCTGAGTGGCGCCCTCGTCAGGGTTGCCACCCTCGCAAACCCATATTTCCCTCCCTCCCCCAATTTTCCCTTCTATTTACTGGAACCGAACAGGTGTTGAGGGTGCTTTCACGGTATTGTTTATTGATTCCGTCTCCCAAAATGACACACGATGGTGTTAATTAGATCACCAGTCAGAGTTTGGTTGTTCACACTTCCCTCTCGTGTTCTCGATTCCAATGTTTCTCACACAAACACTCTTCCTATTTTATAATATTAAAAATAATTAGGATCAACAATACTCTTATAGTGTTGCATGACATTTAATAGAGATGGTATCGTATATTTTGTATAATAAATTCATTCAAAATCTGTATGTAATAATTATGAAATCTGTCATATAAATTAAAGTGAGAGACTATAAAATGCACATAATCAACGTAAGTAGGGCTAAAACTGCAAAAAAGTATAAAGTAATTTAAAAGAAAGACATCAACACAAAACATTATCTTGACTGAGCTCACCTGGGATGTTCAGCTATTGAACTTATAATTTAACACTTTTGTATTAATTACGCCTACTATCTCGGAAACGCGTTTGGCAGCAATCAGGTTAATATACTTGTCTGTTTGAGACTCCACACTAAAATCTGGAATCATCAATTTAAAAAAATAATTTATGATTGATTATTTCTTATTACTATAGGCATATCGCAGTGTAGAAGTAATTTTAATCGGGTCTACTACTTTCAAAGAATATTTATTTCAACCAACCAACTGTGAGGTCACATATCTGTATTCCTATCTTGTAAAGAATGCCTGGATGAAATAATCATTCTTGGAAAATTAGGTTCACTGCGCCAGTTGGGAAGCTGTGACTAACGTCAGAATTTATACACTTGTTTAACACTCGACCCAAAATTACAAGTACTGTCACTGCTCTTAAGCTAATACATTGGTAACCCTGTCTGTTTTACTTCATTGCTGATTGATTTATATGCATTGTTGCACACAACTTATTTATGAGGGTTAGTGTTATTGGGAATTTATTGGAAATAAAACTCGACATGGCATTTCCCTAACATTGAAGAGTTAGAATAGTCTTAATATGTTGAAAGTAAATCGTTGTTTTTGTGCCAATAAAATAAGTTTCCAGGTATGATTCCAGTACCAAATAAATCAATATACAAATTTAAGGCAACTGAATCAGAATTTAAGGAAAACATGAATCTGTAAACTTTCTTTAAATTCAGATTTGGCTCCCTTAAATTTCTACATTTCAATAATAGGTGATTTACTAGGTACTGGAATCACACATGGAAACATGATCTTTCTTGGTACAAAACCAATTACTTACTTTTAACGTATTATTCTAATTCTTCGAGATTGGGGAAACGCCATGTTGAAGTCTTATTTACAATGAATTTCCAATAGGTAACACTAAACGTCATAAATAATTTAAGCAACAACGCATGTCAGCTTAGAAATTAAGAAAAGGGATGTCAAAATAAAAGTTTGTTTTATCACAAAATTATTTCTTACAGTACTTTTAATTTGAGTTGCGTAAAAAAACACCCTGTATTTCTATTATTTAAAACAATCAGAAAATGTCCAGTATTTTTTAAATATATAAATAGGCAAAAGAACACAGGATACAGTTTGCAAGTCAAATTACAGTTTACATTATCTCTTTTTTTCACCCAATAGACACCAGATTTTCACATCAAGGAACCCTTTGAACTGATGATCATTGAAGCCATTCTTCCATGATTGTAATTTTCAACCTTTTATCATAAGGATCCTTGATAATTTTGTAATCTCCCGTTTTTTTGGTGAGTAAAAACATCAAAATTTGCAGCTTAAAACCAGCCTGAATTATTATTAGCCGTGCTTAATTTTTATTTTCTTTGGTGTCAAGTGAAATAAAATGATACTAAAATATAGCTACCATATCAAATCTCAGTAAATATTACTTTCGTATTCAAACAAAATCTCATCTAATGGGACCAAAGGTGAAGGTAGGCCACACTGTGTATACAAAAGATGCTTACCGTATCTCTTAATCCATGTATAACAATCTTTGTGATAATAGTGCCAATTTCAGTCTGAAACCGGTTTCGAAGTTGAAAACCTAGAATGTATTTTTTCCTAAGATGAGATACTGGGCGAAATAAGCCACTCATTGCTTACGAAATGAATAAACGAGCTGTAAAAGTAGACACGAATTGAAGCCTTCCAATCTCATTCTGCAGTCTTCAACAAAACAAATGGGACAGCTTGCAAGGCTTCTTGAATGGGATTTGTTCAATGGATGACTTCATTGTAGCACGATACATTGCTTTAAGCAATACATTGATCGGAATTGGATCAAACCTGAAGTCAGAGTAAGATATTTAGTCTCACTGTGAAACTGTTATTTATCACTTCCCTTCGTTACCTTTCCTCAACATTCATCATGATTAACACCATATACGCCTATGATTCTCGTAACACTATAACTGTATGTCTCCTCAGTGTACGAATAATAAGGCACCTTCCTCAAAAGTTTAATGGGATTAAAACTATTACTTTAAAATTATTATAACTGTATATTACTTCGCGTACACAACCATACCTCTTAGAGACATTTTTCTTCATTAATAGGCTATTATGTACTACTGCAGGCGAAATATTTTTTATTTTAAGATTATGACATCATTTTAAGGAATTGTTTCAATGCCTTATTTTTGATTTTTTTATATTAGTAAAATCAAATTAAATTATAAAATAAATTTCGGAGTGCTTAGAATGAATAAAAAACCTACTGCTTTACACGTAAAGCTAAAAACAACTGTTACCACCTAAGTAAGGCGTTAGGATAGCAAGCTATTTTCTGGTGAAACCGTGCGTTGATAAAAGCACAATCTTGAACGACCCTTACGTAGCGTATACAATAAGGGTAGTGAAGTGTGTAGAAGGGGTAGTGGTGGGCCTTTAACGAATATGCAAACTGCCAAAGAGGCAAATGTAGGGAGGGAAGGAGGTATCGTCACCGATCGTCACTCGTCAGAGTTAATGTTTAGTAAAATTATAACTAAATTGAGAACAAGTAGTTTTCTATTTATGTTTGCGTTGAAAAATGAATAGATTAGTATGAGTTTTTTGTTATGTTTATTTATAACAACAAAAGTAATGATATTTATTAGCTTTACTAAAATTCATACTTTAAACTATTTCTTTTAATATGACTTGTTATAGTTGTAATAAGTCATGAACTAAATTACTAACTACTAAGTTAACTCTTTCTGTTTTGTAAATATCTGCTTTAACCAAATATAACCATTTTTTGGTGAAGCACATTTAACTTAAAAACAGTACATGGTAAATATTATTTTCAAGTATATTGCAAAATTGTTTTAGCCACACAATTTTAAGAGGGTCAGTTATAAGCTCTGTTTATAGCTGAAACATCAGTGTTTAAATGAGCATCTGGTCGTTCATTATACGGACCAAAAACAGCGCCATGTCATCAAAGAGAACTACTTTCAAAACATTCAGCGTAAAATGAAACGCTTTACGCTTTGATACCATTTATGTCATCGTTTTAATTTATCCGTGCAGCTTTCATGCGATGGCACAAAACTCATTAACCAACTTAATCGGGCAATCGAATGTGAAATCATCAAAGACTAGTTTATTTTGAACTTAACCGAAATATGAATCATTACTGTCTATTTGATTTGTCTAATTCAGTAATTGGCATTTTCAAAAAAAGGTTAATTTAGATAGGATACATTATAGTACATTCTTGAGTTAATTTTGTATTCAAAGAAATCTCCAGGCATCAACATGTAATATACATAATTTCGACTCTTGGTCCTGAAGTTGGTCTATTAAGTTGACAAGAAAAAAAGGAGGTCACTTATCTTTTCTCATCTACATCAGCAGAAGTGAGCTGGGTCTCTCCTGTATTAAGAGTCATAAATAAAAGTGTTTAAAGACCAGTCGTTGATTAAGTTATCTATGCCATCTAGACTCACGTTGTATAAAGTGCCTCACTTAATTAGTTGTAAACTGCAGGATATAGAATAGAACTCAAAGAAATTTAGTATGGAAGTCACTTTGACGGTTTGAAAAAAAAATCCGTCTAAAACTCTCGAACTGTTATGTACCTTGTTTCTTAAGGAAACTTAAACCCAGTAAAAGTATGAAAGCTCACAGATTTAATAAATCAGTGTACACATGTGGCTGTAGATGGAATAATCAATTTTAACTCGTTACCAATGTATTTAATAAGTTTTTAAAATTATTTTCTTGCATCTTTATCTGGTTGCACTGCATTCGTATACAATCCCATAGTCATTATTTATATTATGTAATATTGTATTAAATTAAAAACGTATTTTTTATGGAGGGTTCCTATATAATGGAGTAAAACGTTACCTCATGCAAACAGAAATGTAATTCAATATCCTATACTGTTACAAATTGTTAATGTAGACAAATGTATATACTCTGCATTGCAACAAAGCATACATAAAAGTTGTATGCTGTGCTGTCCCATTCATTCAGCAGAATGTAGTGTGTGGTAAGCGTGCGCGGTGAATTATTGATTACAACAGTAGTGCCAACTGGAACACTAACCTAGGAATTCCCTTTTGGATAATCTGAGTGAGAATCGCATTATGCAACTGTGGATATTATCATACTCAACCTGAATATAAACTCTCGTTTTGTTATTAATCCAAAGATTAAATGTTTATTAGTTCAAAATAAACATAAACAAAATATTCAATGTCCAAAAGATCAACTTTTGTATACCTAAAAAAACTTTCAGACGGAAATAGCATTATTTTTAGTTCAAAACTATTAAATAAAAGATTAGTTAACTCGAGTTAATCAGACAAAAAATATGTGGGTTGTTATTTTACACGGTTAGTATTCAGTAAATTGGTGTTCATTCGCAATTGTGTTTACAACATATAGTCTATTTCTAGTACTATATTTAGTACTATTTCATGGA